CCACTTGGACAGGGAACACCCCCTAAGATTTTAGCTCTCTAGCTTCACAGATCCCCGAGTTATGGATTTACCCAAAAAAAATTTTGGCAGGCTCGCACGCGGGTACCACGCTTACCCGGGGGCTTGATTTGAGCTCATTAGCACCTGCTTGGACGGGGAACATTCCCCTGAAATTTCAGCCTTCTAACATCTCAGAACCCCGAGTTATGAATTTGCGCGGGAAAAATTTTGGGGGGGAGGGCCCGTACGCGGGGTACCACTCCTACCCGGGAGCTGGATTTGAGCTCATTAGTACCTACTTGGACTGGGAACAATCCCTTAAAATTTCAGCTTTCTAGCTTTTCAGCTCCCCGAGTTATGAACTTGCTCGAAAAAAACTTTGGGGGCCCGTACGCGAGTACCACGCGGGGTATGGCGCCAATTTTGGGGATTGGAGCCCATACATGTAGATTAAGTCCCCAAAATTTCAGTCCCATAGCTTTTATAGGTCTTGAGATGAAAAACCGTGACAGACGCACACACAGACACACACACACACACAGATAACACACACAAACAATATGCGTTTTTCGCATTGCATTGCTGCAAAAAACGCATAAAAACTGAATTAAAGAAAACTTGAATTTTTGGGGGAAAAAACCAAAAAGGCGAAATCAAAGAATCAGAACCTATGAATAAAAGCCAAAGAAAGCAAGAGTAAAATCAGTCGTGTAGTGATTTGTGGTTCCATTCAAGCATGTGCGATCGCATTGCAGCTTTTGCGTCATGTATGCTTCAGAAAATACTTCACTTGCACTCTCCTTCCCTCATTTCTTGACCTAAACTCCACTGAAACGAACGGCCAATATCGTTGTTGTGGTTAACTTAAACTTGAACTTTTATTACTGTCATTATTATTATTATCATCATTATAATTATTGTTGTCATTATTATTATTGTCATTATTATTATTACTATTATTATTATTGTTATTATTATTATTGTTATTATTATTATTATTATTAAATGTCATTATTAATAATAATTATTAAACAGGGCAACTTGCCAAGGATTTTCGTAACTTTTTATACTATTTCAGCAACTTTTTTGGCATTATTGTGCAAAAAATTTCAGTGAGAAAGATGTGATGGAGCATCTTCGAAGTGTCTATGGTACTCTGGCAATTGGTCTGATGGCAGCAACAGTTGGCGCATTTCTGCATCTCTTCACCGACTTTCTTCGTGCCAACTTTCTCCTCACGTTGGCCTCAATTGTGCTGATGATTGCCCTGTCCAATACGCCACATAATGCACAGAATGAGCGCAAACGACTGATCTATTTCCTCTCATTCTGCGCTCTTGGAGGTAAACTTCGGACTTTTTTTTTGAAAAACACGCTTTATTTTTACATTTTTACTCTTCAGAAGTAG